GTATCGAAGCCCTTTGCCTCCATACTTCGCCGCCCAGATTTCACGGAGCTGTTCTTGAGCAGGTCTTGTGCTCGCCGGCAGCTACTGTTCGCCTGCCAAAACAAAGGTGAGTTGTTCTTCTTCTCGGCACCTCAGCCTCAAAATCCGGACGAGAACTCGTCTCCTCTAGTCGTCAATTCCCATATGAAGCTCTCCTTTGATGGTCGCTTTGGATTCAGCGGTCTTGTTCATGGCTTGGTCGGTGTTACAAATAAGCGGATCTCAAAGGGAAAGAAGGAAACAGTGCCGGTGATATGTAACCCTAGCACGGGACAGTCTTTGTCTTCACCCAAAGTGAAGACGAGGAGAGTTGAAGCGAGGTGCTTGTTTGGGTATGACCCGATTGATAAACAGTTCAAGGTTCTGTCTATGACACGGGCAGGTTCAGAAAGAGAGAATTTGGTGTCTGAGAAGCATCAGGTAATGACACTGGGAACTGGAAACCACCCGTCATGGAGAATGATAGAGTGGTGCATTCCCAGTTTTTATTATTATCCACATATAGGTATATGCGTCAATGGCGTTTTGTATTATCTATCCATTTGCACATCTACAGAGACATATATGCTGAGTTGCTTTGAGGTTAGGTCTGAGAAGTTCAGCTTTATTAAAGTCAAGGAAGATTTCCATCACCATGGAACTATGGTAAACTACAATGGCAAATTAGGTATACTTAGGGTAGGAGAGGGTGGTCATCTCCTCAATGCAGGAACTACAAGTATTGAGTTGTTGGTTCTGGAAGATCTCGAAAGACAGGAATGGTCTGAGCATACATACGTGTTGCCTCCTTTGTGGAAGAACCTGGTTGGAAAAACAGCCCGGTTAAGCTTTGTTGGAGCTATTGGTACAAATGAAATTGTGATGAATTCGAGCTCGTTCGAATCCTTTTGCCCTGGTCCTCTCTACCTTTTCTACTTCAATATCGAGAGGGACACTGTCGTAAGAGTTGAGATCCAAGGAATTGATTTGACTAAGTATGGTCCAGCTCTCATCTATCTAGACCATGTAGAGGACGTGAAGATTATCCAAGTGTTTAGAGGTTCTTCATAACTTGAGAGACTGTTTTGGTGGCTTTAGGTAGTTTCTGTTTTCTGTGTAGACATTATAAATCCATTCCCTTGTTTAACTCTGTATTGTTGTTAGCAATAGTTGTTGTTGTATGTTAAGTTTGTTGCTTTGTACTCTCTCCTCTTTAAAAGCCAAGCCACTTTGTGAAATCGTGAGTTATATATCTACTCGAGTGATTGATTATACAATTAATATTGGCATATGATAGTAAACTTTTTAAGGTCATAAGTTAAAGAAAAATCTTCAAGTATCACATAGATTTTTTGTTTATGAATTATGATCATTCGTTCCGGAAAATTACAAAACTAGTAATAGAAACGTGACTCACTGAAAAAAAAAAATACAAAATAAAAAAACAAAAATGGGCAAGAAAATCGTGGCCACGTTTTGTTGATAACATACGAACGTGTTAGAAAATTTGCAGATTTATGATCGCCGGGAAAAAAAAAATGAGACTAACACACTGGTCTTTGTGATCCAGTGAAGCTTAACTTTTTTGGCTACTTTCTTAAAGCACAAGGTACCATGACAAGCGTATTGGGGATGATAAACCCTAATCTGATCAACGGAAGAAATCTCCACAAAGGATCTCCGGTTTTCTTTAGAGCTGAAGAAAGCAATAGACGAGTCCAATGGAAATTTTCAATCAAGGAAGGATCTTTAAGAACGCCACAAGCCACTGCTTTTTCCGAAGTTTCTTCTTCTACAACAGAACCAAAGGTTAGTGATGACTGATGACTGATAAGATCTTTGAGATTTTTCTAGATAACTCTCTGTTTTGGAACTGGACTTGAATCCTAGACCATGAAAACGCAGGCGAGAGAGTTCAATACGACGACGTATGACGACAAAATGTTGAACAACTATGTTCCTGTCTACGTCATGCTTCAGCTTGGAGTCATAACGAATGACAACGTTCTTGAAAACGCAGAGAAGCTCAAGGCACAGCTCACGAAACTGAAACAGAGTCAAGTAGATGGAGTAATGGTTGACGTATGGTGGGGAATTGTGGAATCAAAAGGTCCAAAGCAATATCAATGGAGTGCTTACAGAAACTTGTTTCAGATCGTACAAAGCTGCGGACTAAAACTACAAGCTATCATGTCGTTTCATAGATGTGGTGGAAACATAGGAGATGATGTCAACATTCCAATACCGAAATGGGTGCTTGAAATCGGAGATACGAATCCGGATATCTTCTACACGAACAAGATTGGTAATAGAAACAAAGAGTGTTTGTCTCTTTCCGTAGATAACTTGTCTCTTTTCAAAGGAAGAACAGCTGTTGAGGTATTAAAAACACTTGCATTTGAAAAACCCTCGAAAAGTTGCTTTTTCTTGTATAATCTTGCTATGTTTCTAGATGTACAGAGACTACATGAAGAGCTTCAGAGAAAACATGGAAGATTTCATTAGCTCTGGGGTTATAATAGACATTGAAGTAGGGCTTGGTCCTGCTGGAGAGCTTAGATATCCTTCTTACAGTGAGACTCAAGGATGGGTCTTCCCTGGAATCGGAGAATTTCAAGTGAGGAAAAGAAAATGTGACTCTTGATTTCTTTAGGGTTTGAAGAAGAAACAGAGAGCTTTATAAGTTTTTTGTTTAAATATTTTTCCATTTCACAGTGTTATGACAAGTATCTAAGATCAGATTATGAGGAAGAAGTTAGAAGAATCGGACATCCGGAATGGAAACTTCCGGAAAACGCAGGACAGTACAACGATGTTCCAGAAGAAACAGGTTTTTTCGAGTCCCCTAATGGAACTTACCTTAAGGAAGAAGGAAAGTTCTTCTTGTCATGGTACTCTAGAAAGTTACTTCTCCATGGTGATCAAATCCTTGATGAAGCTAATAAAGTGTTTCTTGGGTGTAAACTCAAGTTAGCAGCAAAGGTAAACTTTAGATCTTGTTTAGTTTATGTAAGACGCAAAATGCATTATAGATTTTATGGTTTCTTAATCTTTTAGGTCTCTGGAATCCATTGGTGGTACAAAACTGAAAGTCATGCTGCGGAACTCACCGCGGGTTATTATAATCTCAAAAACAGAGATGGGTACCGTGCGATTGCGAGAATGATGCGTAGACATCACGCTATCTTGAATTTCACTTGTCTAGAGATGAGGAACACAGAGCAGCCAGCAGAAGCTAAGAGTGGACCTCAAGAACTTGTTCGACAAGTAAGCAAATTAGTAACACACTCTTTGTATATATGTTTTGATTTTGTGAAGTTGATTATTTATTTAATAAGGTTTTGAGCTGTGGATGGAGAGAAGGGATTGAAGTTGCGGGCGAAAACGCGCTTCCAAGATTCGATAGAGATGGATATAACCAGATTATACTAAACGCAAGGCCTAATGGGATTAACCGAGATGGTAAACCGAGGATGTTCGGGTTCACATATCTCCGGTTATCTGATAAACTTCTCAGCGAACCGAATTTTGCAACGTTTAAGACGTTCATGAAACGAATGCACGCAAACCAGGTAAGCAACACAAAAGCCTTTAGTCTGAAAACAGTCTTTGCTTCAAGATTCAGTTAACAATTTTTTTTAAGTTATGTGTTGCTTTTATCATCCAGGAGTATTGTTCAGAGCCTGAGAGGTACAATCACGAGCTGTTGCCATTAGAAAGATCGATAAACGATGAACCATTGGAGAAGTTTATGGAAGAAACAGAGCTAGTTGATCCATATACATGGCTAGAAGAGACAGATATGAGTATTACACCCCTTGAGAGTTTACTTTCTCTCTTGAGAAGCAAATTCTTGAGGAATAAGTTCTAGACTATGGACATAATATTCCTAAGATAATAAACATGTAATGTACATATACAATAAGTAAACAATTTGTTGATAAAAATAATAATTCATCTTAATGATGTCAATTTGAAGCAATAGTTTGTATAAACTCTGCGGCTGAACATGTCGGTTTTCAGATTACGTAGTGTTCAAACCACAAGTAGACCAAAATACAAAATAAATAGATAGAAATTATTTATTTCTTTTTGTTTTTGTTAAAAGGCTTAGATAGAAATTATTTGGGAAATTATTTCATAAATTAGCATCTTTCCTTGTACAACTGTAAACATTTCAAGTGACAAAAAGAAGTCGGCTTTGTACAAATTTCAAATGTTTTTTTTTTTTGAACCAACAAATTTCAAGCGTTAACAATCGTTTATCTTTATGCTTGAGCTTCTTCTTCCGGTTATTAAAAACTTATAGTTTTATCTCATATTATTATTTAAAATTCAACAAAGAAAAATACATATTATTATTTTATTATAAAGATATCTATTTTAGTACTTTGTGTTTGTCACACTACTTTAAAAACTCATATTATGTCGAATTTGATTATGTAAAATTTAAAATAGGTTCTATCAAAGAATTGAATGTAAATTTGGTTCAATTAAAACGACCACTTTATTGAAAATCACGTAACGAGGCCTGTGCATTTTGTATAGTATCATCTGATACTTTTAATGACTCTTTATGTATTACTATTATATTTGTATTTTTCTTGAATTCGAGTTTTGAATCTTTAAAAATACCCGTGACGAGGAATGTGTCTGAACGAGATAACGAGAGCATTGAAGTAATTTCAGGAACCAAAGCAAAAGACAAGATTCCACCACTAAACGTCATTATCATTAGTGCATTTTAACCCCACATGCAGACAACAGAGCGTGACATAAACGCTTTCATTTTTTTTCCAAAATGACACGGCTTTCCAAATTACAAAAGAGACTTCGATATAAGTGAACGAATTCAAAAAAAGGAAAGAATTCGTACTAATATGTTAAAATCATTATATTTAAATTGTGACACAGTTACCATGGAAACATAGTCAAGGACAAGGACCCACCTGTTCGTTCCATCAATTATCAAAGAACCTCTGTCACTTAGCTTCGTCTTTGGCCGCAGTGGCAGAAACGTAATAAGCGACACAAAAGAGGGCATGTAGAAAACACAAGATCCCTCCAATGGAGAGAAAATGGTGATGTGTGAATCCACAAGAGGATCTTGACTTGCTGTTCGACATCGTTCCAATCACCAAAGACCCGAATCCAACGGCGAATACGATCCTGTGATTACCATCCATTCAACGCACACCACGTGTCATTCACTTTGGACCAACAATGATGTTAATGCCAAGAAGATTTGTATTGGATGTAACGTACCAAGTGAGGACGAGACAAGCCATGGAGATTTGCTTAGTGGACGAAGATCTTTGAAACTCGTCTTGAGAGCAAATACAAAGACAACCTCCGATCAAATTGATGAGGACATGAGCCATCACCAATATCGCGGCTGCACCTAGACCGAGTCTGAACGCATCTTGGCTCGGCTCTCTGCACTCAAATAGCCATAGCCTCATGTGCTTCACCTGCATCCACATATGCAACCAGGGGTCCTTTTTCTTTAGCTCATGCAAGTGGTATATTCGAACAAAATTCGATTTAAAATTTATTACTAGAATAATTGTTGCATATTTGGCATACACTGAAGTTCTTGCTTTTTTTAAAATGTATCCATCATTATCAAATGGATTAGGGAGAAAATACCTGATTTTGGGAGACTTCTGCTTGGATTCCGAGGATTGCAGCAGCTACATCTAAGCCCACAATGACCAAACAAACAAGAATGCCTCCTATCTTCGTCATTTAATAGCTAGGGTTTAGTTTTGCTGGAGATACTTTGAGAAGGTTAAAGTTCAAAATGTGAATCAAGAATAGGAGAGGCTTTTCTGTGAGGGAGAGAATGTTGTTTATAGAGGAAAATGAGAATGGGGTAGTGCAAAGTCTACTGAGTAATTATCCTTTATGACAAAATGGGTTGATAATTTATATAAAGAGTGGTAAGAAAGAGAGAGATATAAAGAAACTTAAAAAAACAAAGAAAAATGGAAAATGAAATATAGAGATATTTCTTGTTGGTGACCATGACATACAGCCTTGTTTGGTGACCATGAATATGCAGTTTATCTATATTCTATTTTCATAAATGAATTATATTATTTCATAATTATTTAATTATTATTAAATAATCAACATATTAACTAATGAATTATGATAAATTGAATCGGATTTTGCAGTTTTTTTTCTGCAGTATACATGTATACATTTTCAAATTTATTTACTGATTTATTCTACTTAACACAAATACTAAAAAAAATTATTCTAGTGTCTTTTGGAAAATATTAGTTCAATTCTCCTTCACATATTTTTAATCATATTGGTATTATTGATAGATATCAATAATACACTAATTTTTTATCCCTGTATATTAATAAAATTTGGCTCATTAAAAACTTATATTACACATTTTAAAGTTTAAATTTTAATCTTAGTTCATGTGTTTTGCTTTGCATTTACTATAAGTTTTACAGATTTGATGAAAGTAATATTTTCTCTTCTGACAATCTAAATATTTAGTACTAAAACTCTGAATTTTTGTAATCTAAAAAATATAACATTTTACCATTTAAAATGTTCAACTATTCGATCGAGTACTGACCGACCGCATATCAAACTCATGCATATTATCTTCATTGATTTCAGTATAACGACATAAAGATACAAATACATATAGCTTTAGCAAAGGCATTAGGCTATTGCTCGTGCTAATGAGAATCTAGTAAAACCCTTGGAAAAAACTACCAACACCGAAAGGTTTATGTGAAAACAATTGATATAAATAGGAATGACAAAAAAAAAAAAGGAATCGCAAGCATATAAATATAGATGGATGATGAAACAGAGGGAATAGGATTAGCTGGGATATGCATGTGGCACTTTGGCACCAAAGCCAATAAAGCTTCTTTTTGTCCATTATGGAATGGCGAATTTCCTTTTGATAAAACTTAGTATTGATTTGCTAATTGATCTTTTTTTTTCAGGTGACTAATATAGTAGTTTTGATAGATGCTTAAATTAATTTATTTGGTTAAGTAAAACTGTTTGGATTCTTTGTGTTGGGGAGGAAGAAAAGTAGGCATAATACAACCCAACCAAGCGTGGCCGATGTCTTCACATCTCTGTAAAAGAATCAAATTTTCATTTCTTTAATTTATATGATGGGTAGAGTTCAAAAAACATTTATCTAGTACTGTACTTGGGCAGTGAACAATCATTGGTCGAAAACTCATACCCATTTACATGTAATTTTGTAAGGACGTTTGATACCGACGATGAAAATTATGCATATAAACTATAATCATTTGACAAGAAAATATAAGCTATATAGTCTTGAGAGAAATATCCCAAGTTCGAGCACCAGCAATGGAGAAGGGAACTAACTTTTCATTTTCTAGTCCCTCAGCTTGATGAGATTATGAAGCTATATCCGAAATTTCTTGGTTAGTATATATGTATATGTATTACTTGAATGGTGGATGAATCGTGTATTACATTGAGCTAATAGTTTTTAATTAGAATATAATTACAACAATGCAAAGATAAGATAGCGAAAACGTCAATATCCATTTTCAAAAAAAAAAAGATAGCGAAAACGTCCCCCCCACCTATTGCTTTTCCCCCTTTAAAAATAATAGAAACAACAGAATCTAAACGACGTATAATAATACATAGTGGATATGGTACATGACATAGCGAATTTGAGAAAAATAACGCAAATCCGATACGCTTCACACCATTTCACTTGAATCCATAGTTGATCACAATAATTTAATCATCTCATGTGAAAAAAAAAGTAGTTGTTTCAAAAACTTAGTCTACCACATCTACATCCACTAGTTATGTAAAATTAATCATTTGAATATGTATTTTCTTTATAGATATGTTTTTTTTTATGATGATGCCACGTTTACTAATCCGGTTGGCACAATATTAGTCATCCGTATTTCTTATCATCATGTATTTGCCATTTGAGACGTCAAAACAATTGGAGAAGATATCCAAAAATTGTATAACCTTTTACAAATAGAACTTTAAATTAGTTCATAGATTTTTTTTTTCTTACGATGAAATGAATGATTTGGTTTTTTAAAATTAATTCAAGTAAATGTTTTTTCATCAATTTCAACGACAAGCATGGTCATTCATTTTTTTGGGGTAAAAAACATGAACGTTTGTCTTTCCATTTCTCTTTTTCCAGTTTTAAGAAGAACAAAATAAACAAACTTGGTTTATATTATAATTCATGTCACATTATAGAAGATTATAGAAGTCGATGCACAACTGGACAAGGAGAAAATCCCGACGAGGCTCTAAAATCCGCCATTGCGATGTTCCTATTAAACAAGCAAAAATAACTTTGATTTTAATTTAAGAAAATAATAAAAAAATGGAGCAGAAATTAGATCGATAAATCTGAAACTTGTATATATACATATTACATGATGACTTATTGACTTACCAGGCTTTTTTGAATCTGTAGCTGAGCGAAATCGTCTTTTTGGCCTTACCATGCTCTCTTGAGGAGTCCTTTAATTTCACACATGCGTGTGAAAGTTTCATCGTGAGGCGATCACTCTCGTTGTCTTCCTCCAAGATGGGATATAATGATGGTTGCCACCGTGTGGAGACCCCATGCGTATGTTGTCCTGAGTAAAGAGTTAACAATCCTTGATCAATCGTCAGTGATTCCTCTTCATTTGTGGTCGTATCGGAACGGTAACAATGGCGAAAAAGAGATAAAATCATTTCAAACTTGGAAAACAAATATGAAAAAAAAAATTAGTCTAAATAGTTGAATACTATATGTGATTTTTGGGCTCGGCAACAGAGGGATTCGAGGTTTTTTTATGTACTTTTTAACTGAAAAGAAAAGAGTAATGAAGGGATCCATTAAACAGTTTCTGCTAATTTTGGATGATATTTTTACTTGATGCGATAGATATTAATTTTTTTTATGTTACTAATTCTTTTGAAAACTGTTTATGTTAATGAATCTGTTAGAATTTAGAGATCTCTTTGAAAGGAAACTTATTGATCTGTCTACGGATAGAACTTCTCAGTGTTGGCAATTTAACTCTTGTATGTTCAATGATAATTCTTAAAGTTGGATTTTTTTTTTTAAGGTAACTTTTGATAATATAACTTAAGGGTTTTATTTTATGAGATACTGTACCTTTCTGAATTTATTTTTAATTATTCGTTTTAACTTTAGTAATAATCACAGTGATGCTTAAAATACATTAATTCAAATACTTGCACTGTTGTACTTATCATTGCTTAGTGGTAATAAATCACAGGGACGCTTAAAATGATATTGTGAGTCGTTTCTTTAAGTTCATACTAGGTGGTTGGCCTGTGCAGGTATAATTTTGTTGATATACATAGTTAATTGTAATATTTAAATTTTAAACATTTGTATGTTTGTATATATATATATATATATTGTTTTAATATTTCACAAACTTCTTTCTGAAATTAATGTATTTTAAAAAAAATTATTTTTATAATGTTTGTAATAGTATATAATCACAAATATAAAAGTTATGTTAAATAATATTTAAATTCTTATAATATTAATATGCTTTATTTCTCCTTACACAATCTACAATATGTTTTTTTGCGTCTTACATAATATGAGTTTGTAAATACATATATAATATATTTTAAGTATATATTTTTCTTGATTTATTACAAATTAAACTGAAATAGTTTTTACTATTTTTACTTATTTCTAAGAGCGGATAGATGGTTGGCACGCATGTGCGAGCATACCAATCACTTTACTACACTTAGAATAATAAAGATTTTTTTTTAAAATATAAATTGGATAATAATTAAAATAAAAATTAGACTGTAATCAATCTTAACAAAATACATACACAAAAAAGTTTGCATGTGACTTCAACTAATGTACAACTAATATTTATAAATGTACGCGTATTTGTAAAAAATTGAAATATGACTTTTACGTGTTAATTTTTTTTTAAGTGACTATGTAAAACAAAGGGCGAGAGATTTATTTTTATATACTTCTATTTTTATCTCTTATTCATATTATTTTATCTTATTATAATTTGTTCTTTCGTTCGGTTATTTTTTAATTCATTTATGATCTCAAAATTTTGATATACAATGAGAACAAAATTATGTATATATATATATATATTAATATGATATAAAATTTTATTTTTATTTAAAACATGATAAGAGATAAGATGAGATGGTAACATAAGTTATGCATATTTTAAAAAACAACAATAAAAAGATGATAAAAGTTATAGAAAAATATATGGTCCTATTAATATTATAAAATAATAATTAGTATAAACTTTATTCATTTAGTAAATATTGGTTTTTAAAATACTTTTTTTAAATTACATTTTTTTAAAAAAATTAATAAAAGTTATTTATTTTTATTATTTTTAATATTTTATTTTTTAAATTATTTTTATCATGATTTTATTTTATTTAAAATTGTATTATTTAATAATTTGTTTGTTTAAAACTTTTTTAGATTTAATTAATAACTTTCCGAAATAAAAATATATCATACTTAAAGTATTATTAATAAATAGAATTTTTACTATTCTATTGGATAATTTAATATTATTATTTTATTTTTATATAAAATTATAATATATATATATATATATTGTTGAAAAATTGTCATAATTATTTTTTATGAAATTATGAATATATGTAAAAAATTAAAATTATAATAGCTTTTATTTTTTGTTAATTTAAATTTTTTTAATTTTAGTGTTATAAATATAATTTAGTTTATTTATGTTTTAATTTCACAATTTCTATAATTTCAATTCAACCAATCAAAACATTTCGTTTAATTTAGGAAGTTTGACATGTCACATTTACATGTCATCAATTAAAAGTACTAACTTTGATTGTAGTGTTGACAAGTAAGCAATTTTCGATAATATTACTTTTCAAATAATATGTAGTGGATGTAATCTTGTTGTAAGTGAATATATACTTTTAATTTATATGTATAATCTAATTCCTAAGATAATTATAAAAGTATAATATTTATTAGAAATGGAAGCGGCTAGGACACCCGGCGATTTCTGTGGCGACTTACAGATCTTAATCCCATAGACTCTTAGGCGAGACCAGATCATCTCTTCCATTAAATCTTTTGGCGTAAGGAGTGCCCCCTCACAAGGTAAGTTTTTCCCCTCCCCCCACTCTACTCTTGGAAAAGGCTGGATCGGAAGAACATCTTTTACGGTTTTGACTTCTAGCGTGTGTGCTACGTACTCTTTGTTAGTGGAACTTTGTGGCTGGATTTAATCAGTGTTGCAGATTCAAGCTCTGACAAGCCAGACCTACGCGACGGTGATCTGCTATACCTATATTTCTGTTCCCCTATATAAGGTGTATTTTCGGTGG